CATGATATTGCTGCTTTCGAATGTTTAAAGAGATTTAGAAATACTTTAGGTATGCAAGTGGACTCATCCGGTTCGCTGGTGAGGTATAAGTGGACCTATCCGGGATGCCGGTAGGGATAAAGTGGACTCATCTGGTACGCAGGTGAGATATAAGTGGACCTGCAGGGATTAAGTGGACCTATCTGGGACGCCGATGGGGATTAAGTGGACCTATCTGGGATGTCGATAGGGGTTAAGTGGACCCATCAGGACGCTGATGGGGTATATAGGTGACCTACTTGAGACGCCAGTAGGGTATTTTGTGAAATCTTTTGAATTATGCATTGATGTTAAAATGTGATATGCATTTCAATTATTCGGATTATACTTAATTATACATTTTTGAAAGTGAAACTGTTAATGCATTCCTGTTAATAGATCTCCTTTTTTTAAATATTGATATCTTTCAATCATGATTATTTTTAGGATTATGATGATCACTTACTGAGTAGCCAAACTCATCAAATTATGGTAAACATTTTTCAGGATAACTGCGGTTTCATTTTGAGTACTCGTCAAGGGCAACTTTGGAAGATATTGTAGTTGTGCCTAAGCTTTCTTTTGTTACTTTGTAAGAATTCGCCACTGTAAATTTGTCCTATCAAGAGATGTATATATGTTTTGACTGTCACATCTCAGCAATATCAGTATTGTAAATTCTTGGGGTGTGACATACACCCATGTGATAACTTTTCTATAGATCCGTACCAACTTTAATAGTGATCATTTAGGGTCCTACACACATGGATGGGGAAGGGTCCTATAGGATCGTTACTCTAAAATTATATTAGATTTCTTTCCTTTTTTTTTTAATTCTAAAATTTGTTCTTTGTTAGATTCATGCACATCATTCTTGAGATTTTCGTTCATTAAACTTTTGGATCCAAGATTCATCTTTAAAATAGATTTTAAAGAGAACTCATTTAAATAGATGAGTCGGTTCTCATGGAAACCTTGTCGATATCTAGTATCAAAGTGAGGCCTTATATAAATTGTTTCCTTTATAAATTGCGTGTGGTAAGCAGTTAACTTTAAACAATTAGAGTAAGATTTATCTTTAAATTATGTCAGAAGATGTAGTTTTGGTGTCAAAAACTCATTTGATAACTTAAAAATCTAATTTTGCTCCTAGGTAAAAGAATTAAGCTCCAAAAATGATGTTGAACAAGCATGTCTACAAATCCTTGAAAATCTTGGAAATAAACGGGCCAAATAAATGTTACAAGATGTATCTTTTTTCCCACTTGAAATCCTTTTTGTCATATTATACATCTCAAGACTAATTGAAGGGATTTTCAGTTTCCAATCGATATTTTCTTATGAATTTTTTAGGTGTCTTATTTTTACATTATAAAGAGATGCACTATATAAATTTTTTCCTTGCCCAAAGGATGCAATTGGGCTTAGGCTTTAAGATAAAAATTAAACCCGCACTTGAAATCCAACTAGAAAATGTAATTCACGGGGGCGAAACCGTTGTGATGGCCTATAAATCTATTCTTACCTCTAACTATTAAATTTGAAGATTAAAAAATAATATAGAACTGCTATATATGTGAACTCGTATTTAAAATCCTGGATTGGTAGCGTGAGCCACCCATTCTCTAAATCAATCATTATCGGTTGAATTAACAATCATGAGAAATCGAAGTAGTGATCAAACAACTTTATGAGGAAAACAAAAGGAAAAAGTTTATATACAGTTGAGGCTCTAAAGAATCACATTAGAGCCCACCTTAAAAATTTCACTAGAAGAGGTTGTTTTGGTGCCCAAATATCCTCAAATTGATCATCTCGACATCAAGGTGCGTGTACATGAGAAAAAAATGGATTTCAAGTTTTAGAAATAGTGCACCTTGTAACACATTTTTGGACCGTCAAGTTTCAAGATTTTCAAGTTTTCAGACATCTACTCGATCTACACTATTTGTTAACCTTTAAATTTTATAATTAAAAATGAAAAATATATTTTAAAGCTATCAGAAAGAATTCCAATATTGAAATCAAAATTTTCAACACTATTTGAAAGTGTGCTTTACTTTGATTGTTTAGAGCCTCAGCAATATACGAACCACACCCAAAAAAAAAAAAAGCCATCATTTCATGCGGGTTGGACCGCATTTCTACAATATTCGATCCAAAGGCATATAGCATCCATCTTAAAAATAGATGCATATAGGTGGTCCATCTAAAAATAATTGCAACTAACGGTCCAAATATTTTCTTAACATAATTATTATTTATAGTTTTAAAAAAAAAATCCATATTCATAATCTCCATGTTAAAGATTATATATTCTCTAAAAATTAGGATCAAATTATATTTAAAAATTATATTTATTGCCAAGCCCGCATTTCTACGTGTGCAGACTTGACAACATGCTAGCTGCGTCCAAAAAAAAAAAAAAACATTTAAATAACTTTACAACGTACAAACAAAGATTTAAACTATTTTCAATCAATTTAAAAAAAATATACATTTAAACCTGCTTAAAAATGGAACTTGAAAAGGCAAAAATTCAAAATACCTCCTCTAAGATTTTCTCCATTTGGCCTCTAAATACAAAAATCATTCATATATATGATAGAGCTTGAACAAAGAACAAAATGCCTCTAATATTGCAATAAATGATTGAATAACAAAAGAAAAATTGTGGATTGGGAATGGAAAGAAACAATTGAAACTTTCACCTTTTGATTTCGTCAGTTGGGATTTTTCCTTCACGAATCTCCTTTAAAAATCTTATGGAGGATTTGAAAATGAAAAAAAGACCCTTCAATTTCTACAAGAATAGTTGAGAAATCAGTGAGAAATTACAAAAAATTGATGGGAAGTGTTTCTTGTATAAACACAACCGAGTTGCCAATTCAGTGCAAAAACATGGGAAATGTTTCTTGTATAAACACAACCGAGTTGCTAATTCAGTGCAAAAACATGGGAAATTTATCAAAATGAACCTCACTTTTCAATTATTTAATACTTTATATTTTTTCCTGCTATATCAAGGTAAAATTATGTGTATTTTGATGGGCATTTTGACATTAGAGTAAAACATATGCATAAAATGTTAAATAAGTGTATTTTGATAGATTTCCCCAAAAACATTTGAAAGTCAAAACCACTTTTTTTTTTTTTTTTACTGTATTTTTGAGGTGCACCTTACTTTACAACCTTATATAAACCTTTTCCATGCGTACGGAAATTCGAAAAGAAATATCACTGCATGTAGAAGCATTAAATTCTGCCACCTTTGCCAATACGATTAGGAAGGTTATTCGTATAAAGAGCTTGCTCAAACATCACAATGATAAACACCTGAATGGCTCAGATGGAGGAGGTAATCGGAGCTTAAACAATCGGTCTGCCAGTGCAACCACCAACAAAAGAATCCAGTGAGTGCGACGATAAGAGCCACCGCAACCCACACCCAGTTTCAACCGGCCAAACTGCCATGAAAACATTAAATATTGATATTTCCATAACTGAAACCACCAGAGCAGCCTCAACAAAAACTACAGCAGCCCAAATCCTGAAACCAGGTTCCAATGATTTTGATGGTGACAGAAAACGAGGTTTTCATGGCTGACTCCCATAAAAACATTGAATATTGATACTTCCACAAAAATTACACAACTGAAACCGCAAGGGCAACCTCAACAAAAGCTACAACAGCACCAATCGTGAAGTGAAACCGGGTCCAATGATTTGGATGGTGACTGAAAATGAGGTTTATCATCATCAATCAAGGATTAGAGAGTAAAGACATTCAATAGAAAAGGTGGTTTATGATCGTCAATCAAGGATTAGAGAGTAAAGACATTCAATAGAAAAGGTGGTTTATGATCGTCAATCAAGGATTAGACAATGATAAAGGGAGAGTAAAGACATTCAATGCCATCAATGGGATATGGAAATTTATTTCATGTAGACTGGACCGCATTTCTACAATATGCACTCCAAAAGTATAAGGCATCCATCTTAAAGATGGATCCAAATAGGCGGTTCATCTAAAAACAAGTGTAACTAACGGTCTAAATATTTTTTTAATATAATTATTATTTCTAGTTTTTAATACTTTTTTGTTTTTTTTCATATACATGATCTCCATGTTAAATAATATATATTCTCTAAAAATTAAGATTAAATTATATTAAAAAAATTTATTTATTGCCAAACCTGCATTTCTACATTATACAGGCTGGCCGCATAGAAACCATGTTCATGGGATATTGGTAGCTAACAGTTTTCATCACCATCCAACCTATTGATAAGACCCGGATAACTTGTGGTCATTTTAAGATGATCATGAATAGTATTATCATATGGAGCCATACAATATTTTTTTCTTTAACCACCCAGGCTATATCTCTCTCTAAACTTCTATATCTCTCTAAACTTCTCTCTTATTAGTCTCTCTCTAAGTAGCAAATATTGTCTCTCTAGGTTTTTGAACTACTTTATATTTCAGAAAGGTGAGACATTTCCTCACTTTTTTATTTTTCTCCCAAAACTCCATCAAGATAAAATTTGCTAGCTGTGCGCACTTTATCGAGCACATGTAAAAATACAAAAATCTAATTCAAATAAATTATAATAACCAAAAGACCTCTTAAAGTTCCAAAGGTTAGTCATTTAATTTTCTTCCAAATTTATAGGTGCATGAGAGTAAGATGTATACGTGTCCAAAATTTCTTCTTAATCCATTACATATAGAAAATTCTAAATTGAAATACTTAGACATTCTTTGGACTATTTGATCCTGATGGTTGATATCAATATTATTTTAAAGGTGAACTATAATGTGGATTTTTTATTGTATTTCATTCATTATATTTATTCTAGAGTACTTTTTGATATTTGATATCAATATTATTTTAAAGGTGAACTATAATGTGGATTTTTTATTGTATTTCATTCATTATATTTATTCTAAAGTACTTTTTGATATTTTTCACTAGTGAACGAAGGCGAGAAGCATAGATGCCTAAATTTTAACTCAATCTACTATAGAAAAATAAAATAAAATTGAAATACTTTGATCATCTATGAGGGTATTTTAATTATTCTATGCTTTCCAAATTATTTTTGAGCTTTTTTTTTTTTGTAGAGATCTATGTGGATGGGAAATATATATTCTTAAAATTTAGCACAATATGATTTTTTTTTGAAACTGGCAACTGTATTATATTAAAGAAGGGAATAGTACAGAAGGAAGCTAGAGACCACCAACTGGACGAGGGTCCTAGATCAAAAAAATAGGCACTCCACCAAGTGGAGGCCCCAAACAAAAAAAAAAAAGAAAAGGGGAGAACGTAGTACAAATGTACAAACTATTATAGAAGGTGTAACAGGAGTGTATCAAAAAAATTTCGATCATGTTTGGAGAGCTCCATCTTTAGCTAGTGCCCACTTGGGCATTGAATTCCTGCCGGATGTGCCCTTAGAAGAGGATCGTATCCCAACAAAGGTGAGCAATCTTGTGAGAAATAGGGACGAGGTACCAGGGGCATGGAGAAGAGTCGGAGGTGCGCATCGCCTTCGACAATGAACGGCTGACCCCACATAGGGTCAAAGAGTTTGAGGCTCAGGAGGAGGGATTGAGATTCAGCCGACAGGTAGTTTGCATGGCCCGGGTGGGTTGAGTCGGAGGCCAGTGTGAGGCCAAGGTGGTTCCTGAAAAGACCTCTAGCTCCTACCAATCCAGGGTTGCTTACGGAGCACCCATCAAAGTTGAGTTTGGTTAGTCAGATACGACGTGATAATGGCCAAAGGAGGGGGGGAAAGAGAGGTTGGGCTTGAGGTTGGGGAATGAGGGAAGGTAGGTGGCGGGAGCAGTTGTTAGAGCCTCTTGCCTGGAGGAAATTCCTCATGAATTGCTCCAGGCAATACATTATGTTATACTCATTCATGGTCTCAACTCATCCATTTTTCTTCTTTCGTGATCCAGACCGTACATTAGTTACATGTTATGTGGACGGGCTATCATTTCAGAATGTCATTCATTGAACAAACATCACCATCTTATTAACAAAACATTAATAGATGGTTATAATTGACTAATTTACAGACTTATTGGTTTACAAAATTCCATCTTAAACCAAATACTTTTCAAAAATTCCTAGAATTCCATACATATTTACTAAGCATAACATTTGTTATATCAGGTACTCAAGTTTGTGAGTTTCAAATTTCAGTATTGGATATTTCCCATTTTACCGGTGCTAATTGGCTCCTAAACACCAACTAACATACAACATTATTATCCAAAATTGCTCCAGCCTACCATAGACTTAATTTTTTTTTTTAAAAAAAGTTCAATTTTGAGGCCTTGAACTTCTAGATCATTCCCGCATGGTTTCCGTAAAATTTTAGGATACCAATTTTTTTTTGGTACGTAAAGATTGAAAATTATTATTTTCTTTGAGGTTGGTCGTCCTGCCATAAAGATCACATCCCCAGAATTTGGAAATTGGGATAAACAAGATGGTGCAGTTTGTATAGAACCGAGGTTCTAAACAATCAAAGTAAAGCCCAATTTCAAATAGTATTGAGAAATGTGGTTTTAATATTAAAAATATTTGTAATAGGCTTAAAATATATTTTCATCTTCAATTATAAAATTTAAAGCTTAAAAAATAGTGTAGATTGAGTAGTTCTACAAAAACTTAAAAATCTTGTAAATTGATGATAAAAAAATGCATTATTTTCAAAACTTGAAATCCATTTTTTTCTTCATGTTAATGCATTTTGATTTCGAGATGATTAATTTCAAGATATTAAGCATGAAAAACAATCTCTCCTAATGAAATTTTTGAAGTAAACTCTAATTTGGTTATTTAGAGCCTGTACTCTATACAATTTTTTTCGGATATTTGTAATTTAAGTTTTCGCTGAGGGAGTAGATGGATAGTATACTCCTGCGGCAGAAGAACCCTTTTTTGCTGAAGTGTGGCACGAAGAAGGAGGAGAGCGTTGTTTTTGGCGCGTTATCGAGAGAGAGAGAGAGAGAGTTTTGATTTTGGCGCCATTGTTGGAGTTAGGGTATGACGCAGAGAGATATCATGCTGAAGTGTGATGCCTATGATCGTTAGCCTTGAAGAAAAAGCAGAGAGAGAGAGTGAGAGACAGAGGGAGTGAGCATTTGTCTCATTTCCGCTTTTTGTTACACATAGTAGACTTTGCGTCTAAGCGAAATTCAACCGAGTTTAAAGCCACTCATGCCGAGAGAGAGAGAGAGAGAGAGAGAGAGAGAGAGAGAGAGATGGGTTTCTGTGTTCCTCATCACTTATTGGTTTTCATGGCTCTGTTCCCTGTTTATACTGCCTTAATCATGGAACCAACTGATTATTTCTCAGCCCTCGGTGATCCTGGAATGAGAAGCAAGAACATCAGAGTAGCATTGGAGTCGTGGAATTTCTGCAATGAAGTGGGGCAAGAGAATCCCAAAATGGGTAGCCCAAGATTAGCAGATTGTGCTGATTTAGACTGCTCATCATCCAATTCTGGTGAGAAAATTCTCTGATTTCTCAGTAAATTTTAAATTTCAGATGAGTTATTGAATTTCCATGCATTTTTTCACGATTGAATTTCCCCCATTTTTCTTAGTAGTGACTAGTTAGTATTGAGAAACAAAGGTCCGTTCTTGATGACAGACGAAGTCTAATATAATGAATACCGAGAGAGAAAAATTGCTTTTTGATGAAAGAAAAAGCACAATCTTCATATGTTCATCATCTATGCTAATGACAATGCACAATACTGGATAATAAGAAAAAGATTGGTCTCCATATTTTAGGAAGCCCAATTGTTGAATTTTCATTTATTTTAGTGATTGAGCTATTGGCCCATCTCATCTTATATGTGACAATCACTTTAGAGAGATTTAATGAGCCTTTTTTATCCTTTTTTTTGGGTTCGTATTTTTTAGTTTCTTTTTTTTTTTTCAATAAGGGCTAGCAATCATACACAGAGTGAAGATATGAGAATTCTGCCTTGAATCACTATGCAGATTTATTATTATTTTAATTTTTCCCCTAAATTGAGCTTTTTAATAATACTATACCCCCCTCCCCCCAAATAAAAAAGAAAAGAAAAGAAAGAAAGGAAGAAGAAAAAAAGACATGTTATTTAGGTACAACTATTGGGCCTTCAAATATATTAACATAAAGTTCTGGACATTTTCCTGTAAAATTTATCAAGATATGAGATGTGATTATCTTTATCAATTCCATATGACCCCTGCATCTGTAGTTCCTTTATTATTTATCATTTTAAATTTTTATCACCCCTGCATCTGTAGTTCCTTTATTACTTATCATTTTCTTCTTTTCCCTTTTTCTTTCCTTTGCTTCTAATTTGCTTAAATTTAATTGTTAGGTTTTTTTTCCCCATCCAGGATTACTTTCTTCTCCTAGTAAAAATTATTAAGATCAGAGGATGACATTTCATTGTTTTTATTTTCTTTTAGACTGTGCTAGACATTAGTTTGGTTATTGCAAGTTTTTGGAATCAGATCTGATGGGTAGTCTTCTACATGGTAATGCAGGTGAATGCAATGTAATTCAAATGGTGACTGATGAAGACAACAAACTTCGGGCTGGTGATGTGTTTCCAAACCCTTCCTTTACACCTTACAATGACACTGATTTGTATGCTGTAGAGAAAGAATTATATCTTGGTTCCCTTTGTGAAGCAAATGATTGGGGATGCCCATGGCAATTTTGGATGATCATGCTAAAAAATGGGAACTTTGATACTAAAAGTGCACTTTGTCCAGAAAATGGGAAAAAGGTTAGCCCAATAATCACAGATAGAAATTTCCCATGCTTTGGTGAAGGTTGTATGGATCACCCATTCATATATCATAATTGGTCAACGGTTGATACTCTACCTGGGTCTCTATTGGAACATTTAGTGGGAGGTTTCTATGGAACTTACGATGTAGAATCTGATCCAAGAGATGGGTTTGGGAACAACTCATATTTTTCGGTGACATGGGAGAAGAATGTAAGCACTGGAAGTTGGATCTTTACTCATAGATTGAGGACTTCAAATAAGTATCCTTGGTTGATGCTATATCTACGTTCCGATGCATCAAAAGGATTCAATGGTGGCTATCATTATGAAGGTCATGGTGTCATGAGAAAGGTAGTTTCCTGCATAGTTTATTTTATTTTATTTTTTTATTATTTTATTTTATTTTATTTTTATTGTGTGTATGTGTCTGGTGCAAAGGGCGGTAGGTATTTTTCTTTTTCTTACTGAACTAAAAGAATTTGTTCAATTTAAAGAACTTCTAACTATAATAGGCTAAAATATGCTACATCTAAAAAGAGTAGTCCTCCATTTCCTTCAAATTGCATTGACATGGATAGAAGTTTTCTTGAGATATGTGAACTTGACTTTTAAGTTTCGCAGGTGCCCGAGTCTCCCCATTTTAAAGTCCGATTGACACTAAACATTAAGCAGGGGGGTGGTTCAAACAGTCAGTTTTATCTTATGGATATTGGTAGCTGCTGGAAAAACAATGGTGAACCTTGTGATGGTGACGTTCTTACTGATGTAACTAGATACAGTGAGATGATTATAAACCCAGATACAACCAGTTGGTGTCGCCCTGATAACCTCGCTAGTTGTCCACCTTATCACATAACCCCCACTGGAAAGAAGATTTATAGAAACAATACTCACACGTTCCCTTATTCTGCATACCATCTCTATTGTGCTCCAGGAAATGCAGAATACCTTGAAAAACCATATGATATTTGTGACCCATATAGTAATCCTCAAGCACAGGAATTGGTTCAGATTTTGCCTCATTCTGAATGGGCTGTTCATGGCTATCCAGTAAGAAAGGGAGATGGCTGGGTTGGGGACCCTAGAACTTGGGAGCTTGATGTTGGGGCCCTTTCCAGTCGATTATACTTCTATCAGGTAGTTAAAAAGTGATATTTTTTAGGAAAATCTGTACTTGGAAACGTGTTTTTTTTGCAGGGAAAGTATACTATAATCTCATGGGCTATTGGAAATGATAGTACATTTGGCTCATCATTGTCCAATGAAACGATGGATGATATGGGAAGAGTGGGACCAACCATTTGGGTCATGTCCTGATTTGGTGGGTCCCTCTTTCTCTATCTCTCTGCATCACTGTCCATCATTTCATTGGCCTAAAAAGGCCCCAATGGACTACAGTTTTCCATGGTGCATTACCTTATCTTGTACTTAAGACTTCTGCACAAGAATTGAATAATGGGAGACCTTTTTATTTGGCACTAGGCATAGGGAATTTATATATGCCACTCTCTACCAGCCATCCGATCTGAGTGGATGGCTTGGATAACTTTAGCCATAATGTCACAAGTGAGCTCTTCACCATTTGTCTAGATCTAATGTATCAGAGTATTTTTTTTAAATTTCTTTTCTACAAATCATATTGACACCAAATTTAGGGTTCCCATTCTCTCATAGAGTTGCACCTACAAAAAATAGTACAAA